TTGTGATATCAAGCATCTTGTTTATAGGTTAATATTACAGTTTTGTGGTTTACAGAAATCCTACTGATGTCAGCACTTGGTTTTTATCACACATTACAAATTAGAACACTTTATAATTGGTTTCATAGTAACATTGTGTAAATAATGTAAATTAATCTTAATATATTTTTTATATATTTGTAGAAACTATATATCAACTACTCCTTTCAAGAGTATAACTAAGTAATACAGATAGAGATCATTTTAGAAACTTAAATCTTAAATATCAGCAGCACAAATTAAGGTACAGATTTTGACTGAAAAGATTTGTTCAGAAAATTGTGGTTCCACTGGTTTTATTTTATGATTGGATAGACTGATAGCTTGGCCATAGCCAAGTAGTATTTTTATGGGTTTTTAATGCATTTACACAACATTGTAAGCTTCTTCCAGCCATAATTATCAATACATCTGAAAATGTTCTCACTTCAGTTAGATGGTTATTGGTCTACTTTGAGTCATTCACACTGCAACATAGGGACCAGTTCAAACTACTGCCAACTGTCAAGCATCTGATTCTAGATGTTTTTTACACTCTAGTATTTAAATGCTACTGTTATTCAACTCTTTTTTAAATGTACTATATATATGTTGTTTCTATAAAGCAGCCATTTTTATTGCATTTTTCCTGTTTTTATGATTTTTTTTTATGAACAGAAATATTTTTCCATAATCTATTTCCAAATAAGTAACAGCATAACAAAACATGGAGGGTGCACTGCCCTCATTATGTTTTCAATATATACCTAATAATAGTAAAAAAGTATTTTGAAGCAGAGGTCAAGGAACTTGCTCACATTTGAATCCATAGGTTGTTTGCCAGAAATAGTTTTTTTTTCTTGTAAAATGGGTGACTCAGTTATGGCAATTGTGCAGATCAACTGCAGGTTTCAAGTGACAATGTAGCTTTTAATTTTTTTTTTTTTTGGTTGAAATTGATCTTTTCTAACCTACATACATAACTATGCAGGGTCACTGAATTATATTTCAGCTTGATTGGCTAATTAACCTGGTACGTCACCGGTCTTCAAGGTTGCAACTGTAGACATAATCCCGGTACCGTTATTTACAGTCACCCCCACTGCCTTCCGCTGCTTTAATGGGTTCTCCAGTCCCACCAAGAGTTCCGATGGACTAGCCGGCACTGCCACCAGCTAGTCATGGGGCTGAACAAAGACCGGATTGGTTTTTTTTTTTTAGTTTTGTTAGATAGTAAACCTGAAGCGATAACCTAACATCACCGGATTTACTTGAAAACAATTGGTGCCATTTTTAAAAAAAATAAAAGCATTCAGTCACACTGATCTTGGTGTGATTGAATGCTTTTAATAGCACAGGATGGATTTGGGGTCTTATTGACCCCAGATCCCTCCATAAAGAGTACCCGTCACATGCCTATTGCCCTCAGTCCAGCAGTGTCCTCACAATGGCTGGTTTCCCCAGCCGTCTTCTCTCCCTGGCGCCAGTATTTTCAGTGTGGGCACCCGGCTGTGACAGCTGCGCATGTACAAGAAGCGCTGTGCTTTTTGAATGGTCTCGTGTCCCAGAAGACTACGGGGAGGGTGGGGGGAGGACAACTTACGCTTCCGATCGCCTTAGGCGATCGCAGCGGAAGTGGGAGTGGGTACCTGTCAAATTTGAGTAACTGCTCCCCAAAGGTGCCAATCCTTAACGGGAAGCGGGGGACAATGCATTAAAGCGGAACTTCCCCTTTTGGGTGGAGCTCCACTTTAACAAGGGAAATTTTCATTACAAAAGAATAGTAATGAAATAGGGAACCTAGGTATTTCATGCAAATATTACCTTTGGAAATCAAAGTATGTGTTTTTAATACATGCAAACAGCAGTTCAAATATTTTTCTTTGTTTTCTCTGGGAGATTTCACATATATGCAATTCTATGCAGGACAAAATCCTGGCGGAATGCTGCATTCTGCAGTTTGCTTGTAGCAGTTTATTTGAAATTGCACCAAAGCACATAAAGGGAGGCAAAAACCTATTCTAAGGTAGCTTGGAACCATGAAAAATGTAACCTGAGATGCCCTTAAAAACAAGAAAACTGCAACCCAGAGAATCTCAAGAAATATAAAAGGCATTCAAATGAACAAAAAAAATTAGATTTTTTTTTTTTCTTTGAGCAAACAGCCTTACAGTTTAATGGTTGCTTTGGTTAACATGTCAGCTTTTTTTTTTTTGTACTTATACCCAGATATCCTTAAGTGATCTTTAATTTAGGGGCACGATACAGGATCATTAGACCCTAGTCCTGGTTCTACAGCTTTTTACCTCACTAGGTGAATCAACTCTCACATCAGCCCTTTCTACCTGACTGTGTAGCATTCAGCCTATTGAGCAGCCTTTATAAAATACCGCCAACTGCAAAAACAAGAATGCTATAAATGTCTCTAGTTGTTTTTTGAATAATGGTACTACAAAAATGGCACCAAACCTACACTCATAACAAGATTCTATATTTATTTTGAAAGATGAACCCTGATTATTACTGTAGTAATAGTTGGTGAAAGCCTTTATGGCTGATTTATGGAAACTGGATCAAAATTGGAGCTGTTCTACAGAACAGTTCCTCTAGAAAATAAAAACTGATTGGCTGCTTTCTTGAACAGTCTCACTTAGCTGCAGTTTTTTTTTTTTTTTTTTTTGCATTAAACATTTTTTTTTTCGAATCAGTCCTTGCATTCCCATAGAGACTTTCATAGCACTATGACTAATGAGATGCTTAATAGCACTGTCTGCTATGTAGGATGAATTCTAGGTGACAATGGATGAGTAGTAGGAAGAAGAGAAGGGTTTTATACCAGTAGGGAGGGGGAAAGACTGCCATTGGAGCCCAAATGCCCCCATGACTGCTGTGCTAGGTGAATGCTGGAGGATACATCATTTAACTGTCAGCAACTTGGCTGGTCCAGTTGCACAACTTCTGATGCAGATATCTCCAAAGAAAACCTGTATTGAGTATAACTGGTAGACTGATGTTGATGATCTTCTTGTGAAAAATTCTACTTGCCTGGCAGTCTTCTGAGTCACTGACCAATTGCAAGCATATAGCAAATAAAGCCATAGTGCTGCAAGGATTTGTGAGCTGCATATTTCTTCTGGTTCAGTAAAATTTATTCTCACGAAAGGTCAGTATTGGCAGCCAGGGCATATATCTCAATACATGTTTCCTTTAATATTTGACCAAATGTATACTTTAATATTTATAATGTACAATAGTATTCTGCAATGTATCTGAATTCTATCAGACCCTGTTTCATTGTAATGTAACAGTTTTTTCTTGAATAATAATAGATAAATACAAGAAAAATAGTTTACATCTTTCAACAAATGTACAGAACATATATTATAAAATCATAGTCTTTTGTTATATACTGTATATAAATGATATTAAAATATACAGCCCCTGACTAGGATTTGTAATGTGGATCATTTTAAATCATATGTACCGGTAACTAACAAGCAGTTAAAACTGGGAGAACACTGATCTTATTTTATTATATGTTATTTTCTGAGTGTTTGTTTTACTCTTATTATCACTCAAATTTATTTAGGAATCTGCAGTCTATTTTTTTCAGATATGTATGTTAATGTAAATGATTGTATCCACGTGTTAATGTTATATATATATATATATTATTATTATTATTATACAGTATTTATATAGCGCCAAAGGGTATGCCCAGCACTGTACAGTAGCAAGGGGGACAGAACATGAGACGAGACAGTAACAATACACTACACGAGGGGTTCGAGGGCCCTGCTCTTTCGAGTTTACAATCTAGGATATATATATATATATATATATATATAATGTAAATGTTTACTTTTTTTCAGAATTACACAGGACATCTTTGATTTATTTGTTTTACATAATTGTTAGTAAATCTATGTTCTGTACAAATTAATTAAAACAAAAGATTAAAGCAGATTATCACCCGGAGTGCTTCCTGCAGTGTAAAATAACAGAGAATGCACTTTTTCCTGATGCCAATGCAAGTCTATATTTTACTCACAGTGATTCATTAAGCAAGATAAAAGGGGAACAATAAAGCTCTAATGGCATGTTTCTGGTGCAGTTCCCTTTAAAACTACCTGCCCATAATTCAGGCAAGCATTTGTGACTGTTTCAGTAATACAGGCATAAATCGGTTTACAAATGTCTCGGTTAACGTAATTTTTGGTTTACGAATGAAAATCCATTGAAAATAGTGCCTCGGTTTACAATTTTTTTTTGCAATACAAAAGTAAGTTTCCCCAGGATGCATTACGCCTGGGAGGTTTATAGCACTGGCCCCGTGCCTTTAAAGTGCACTTTATAAAGCATTTTGAACAGATAAGACTTTTTTTTACTTTTTTCTGACCTTCGGAACTGATTAATTGGTTTTCAATGCATTTACGAATTCATTTTTAATCATGTCCCTGTACAGTATTTATGCTATTAAAGTTCACTTTCTAAAGAGTTTTGAACAGATAAAAGACTTTTTTTTTACTTTCTTCTGACCTCTGAAACAGATTAATTGGTTTTCAATGCACTCCTATGGGAAACCATGTTTAGTTTTACAAATTTTTTGCAATATGAAACGTCTCAGAGAACGCATTAAATTCGTAAACCGAGCTACGCCTGTATTACCAACACATGCAACAAATCTAGGCAGTTCTAACTACTGCCACTTTAAGAAGTTGAACTTATGACAGTGACAGATTCTTAAAGTGGAACTTTACTCTCTCAATCAACATGGACTATTTCTAATCCTTATGCTGCTAGCATTAGTAGGATATAGATAGGAATAGATAGAAATAGATAGGAAAGATAGGAAATTATAAATAGGAAAGTACCGTATTTTGCGCTCCATAATACGCACCTGACCATAAGACGCACCTAGGTTTTAGAGGCGGAAGACAAGAAAAACAATATTCTGAACCAATGGACTGCAGACACAGTACAGCAAATGACCAGAGACTGCAGACATAGCACAAGAGATGACCAGAGGACTGTGGACGCAGTACAGGAGATGACCAGAGACTGCGGACACAGTACAGGAGATGACCAGAGACTGCGGACACAGTACAGGAGATGACCAGAGACTGCGGACAGTACAAGAGATGACCAGAGACTGCAGACATAGTACAGGAGATGACCAGAGACTGCTGACACAGTACAGGAGATGACCATAGACTACGGCCGTAGTACAGGGGATGACCAGAGACTGCAGACAGTAGAGGAGATGACCAGAGACTGCAGACAGTACAGGGGATGACCAAGAGACTGCGGACAGTACGGTAGATGACCAGAGACTGCAGACAGTACAGGGGATGACCAGAGACTGTGGACAGTACAGGAGATGACCAGAGACTGTGGACAGTACAGGAGATGACCAGAGACTGCGACAGTACAGGGATGATCAAGAGACTGCAGAGTACTGACCAAGAGACTGCGGACAGTACAGGAGATGACCAGAGACTGCGGACAGTACAGGAGATGACCAGAGACTGCGGACAGTACAGGAGATGACCAGAGATGCGGACAGTACAGGGGATGACCAGAGACTGCGGACAGGACAGGGGATGACCAGAGACTGCAGACAGTACAGGAGATGACCAGAGACTGCGGACAGTACAGGAGATGACCAGAGACTGCGGACAGTACAGGGGATGACCAGAGACTGCGGACAGTACAGGATGATGACCAGAGACTGTGCAGTACAGGAGATGACCAGACTGTGGACAGTAACAGGGGATGACCAGAGACTGCGGACAGTGCAGGGGATGACCAGAGACTGCGGACACGGTGCAGGAAATTACCAGAGTCTGCAGACAGTGCAGGGGATGACCAGAGACTGCAGACAGTACAGGGGATGACTAAGAGAATGCGGACCTTTGGGAAGGGAGGGGGAGCAGGTACCTGAATTTGACAGGTACCCGCTCACACTTCCGCGGATTTGTCCTCCCTTTAGTGTGTGCGCATGCGCGAGAAGTGCTGCGCTTTGTGATTGGACCTGTCATGTGTCCCAGAAGACGCCGTACTATTCACAAAGTGCAGCACTTCTTCATTGCTGGGCAGCTTTCACAGCCGAGAGCCCACACTAAAGATGCCGACACGGGAAGCCTTCTCAGAGCTGCACCGAGGAACAGGTAAGGTCCTGCTGCAGAGAGAAGAGATGAGCGGCCGGCCCGGTATTCTGACATCGCAGCTGTGGTGGGAATACCGGACCGGCCGCTCCATATTCGCTCCATAAGACACACTGACATTTTCCCCCCTTTTTTGGGAGGAAAAAAGTGCATCTTATGGAGTGAAAACTACGGTATATCATATTTACTTTCTTTAACCTTTATTTTGCATTCCTTCATTTACTTCCTGGTTTCCATGCCTAGGCAAATTATGTCATACATCCCAGGAGTCTTCAGGAGGGGATGGAGGATGGTTGAAGGAGTTTGTTTTGAATATTAAAAATGAATTATATAGCATTTTGTTTGTGGTGCTCAGGTGCAATGCAGTTCCACTTTAAAAAATTACTGCCAGCTTACTAATCTGCACACTGGCAGTAATTCGTTAAGACCAGCTCTAAGGCTAGGTTTACACCTATGCAGTTTGCGTTTGACCCATTTCTGCATTGCGTTTTGCGTAGCGTTTTGTGTTTTTGCACCTGCTTTCTTTTTTTCATTTTTTTTTCTTGTTGCTAGGAAGATTTAAAACACAAAATGCAGCAAAAATGCAGCAAAACACACCACACATGCTTTTCTGCAGCGTTTCCATTGAAGTCTATAGAACCAAAAAAGCTAATTTTTGTGTTCAAAAAAGTCCCTGACCCTTTTCAAAAAACTCACTGGGTGAAATCGCGGAGATGTGAACGTGTCCCATAGGAAATTATGTTAAATGGACTGTAGTGCATTTCTGCAAAATGCAAAACGCTGCGGAAAACGCTTCAGTGTGAACCTAGGGTAAGCCCTGGTATGCCAGTACTCATGGCTGTGCTGAGAAGCTGTAGAGAATGTGGCAGCTTCCTGCACAGTACTGTATACCCGGCCCCATTCAGCTGTCAGCTCGGACATTCCCTGTCAAAAAGCTAAAGGTGAACAGATGGGCTAGGGATACTGTTAATGCCATTACCCAAATTGTCCATATTTGGGAAACTACTTGGGGATCGCCTTATGTTTGATTGACAGTGGATGTCAGTGGGCAAATTGAAAAGCCACTATTGAGCTGAAGAGAAGCTATGGATCCACGCAATTCTGTGTGCTGTCAATCATAAAAAAGGCGGACCAGATAGGGAATAAAATCAGTGAAACCTGTGGGCTGCTATATGATCATAAAGCAATATTATTGCTACGTGAATCAATAAAAAAATATGGAGATTGCTGCAACCACTCACCAAGTGTACTCTCACTCAAAAAAAATTCTAAATATAATCGTGGTGCGCTAATTCCTCAAAGATCATACAAGACCATAGGGAACAATAAAAGAATAAACATAAGTCCACAAATAAAATCTATCAGAAAATAGTGACCCCCATCCCAATTATAATGTCCTAATATAGTGCTTTATGAAGTGTCTGGCATCCGCTTCAAAAACAATTTTTTTTCCTTGGGAATACTCTCCCTGCTCACCTTATAATTAGAACTACATAATAGTATAGGTCAAATGTGCTTGTGGTTAAATCTTATCCTTCATGCTGCAACTAGGTTCCCTCCAAGCATATCTTCACTTCTTGGGACTCCAAACGTGCAGTATGATTCCAAAAAAAACAAAGAAAATATTTTGTAGTGCAACCCTGTTTAGGTGAAAGCAATAAATATGATAACCATGTGCACTCACAATAAACCAAGTTACAACGTGCCCCACACCAAGTGCTTCAGTGTTCAGAAACAACAATCCTGCCTAGACCCAGCAATGCTCACGGTGTGTAATTACTCGTGGTACTTCCCACCACCAATACATGTACTATACACTCACCTTCTTCATTGATCTATAATAAAATAGGCCACATACACTTTTAGGTTGATCAATCTTTGCTCATCCACCTCTGTCCTTTACTTTCGATGTACTGTCCCTTTAAGAGACCGAACTTCAGAGTTTTCCCACTGGGATGGTGAATGCTAGCCTGGTATCATGGGACAGGAAGTGAAGGGAAATATCTCCACTATGGTCATAAAAGCAATACTGAAGTTCTAGCTTTTCTCTACTTTATCCAAAACTAAAAATGTTATAGGATATAGCTTTACTTCCATAAAATGATCAAAGTTTAAAAGAATGACAAGTCTACCAGTATATTATCTCAGTATCATCTGAGAGAGAAATCCCCCTACAGTATGTCATGCAAAGTGATCCAGCTGCCTTTCTGAGTTGGCATTATAATTGCTGTAGCATGACCAAAAACTGATACTTAATGTATATTAGACCTAAAGCCCAAGTTTAGCTAAAATAAAAAAAATAGCAAGGGATGGTACTTCCCTTCAGTGAGAAGTGTCTGTTATACTGCTGGCATTCTTAGTTGATATGTATGATATGCCTGCAGATATGATATGTATCAGGAACAAAGTCGGAGGTGATTGGTGCAGGGGAGGGACATTGACAGCATCCTCCCTCCTGGGCCCCCCTTCTGTGCTCCTCAGCCCCACCCCCCTCCTCGCATGTCTCTGATGTCTCCTCTTCTCTGACAGTGTCCAGCCCCTCCCCCCATCCTCTATGGCAGAGCCGAGGAGAGAAGATCAGCTCTGCCTGCCCTGTCCAGATCAGCCGCCAGCTCTGTGATGCTTCTGCATGTACCAAGTCAGTTCTCTCTCTCTCTCTCTCTCTCTCTCTCTCTCTCTCTCCCTCTCTCTCTCCCTCTCTCCCTCTCCTCTCCTCTTCCCTTCCTTCCCACCCCTTCTTTCCTTCCTTCATCCATTTCATCCCTCCTTTTGCTTCCTTCTCCCTCCCTCCCTCCCCTCCTTCCTTCCTTCCTTCCCTCCCTTCCTTCCTTTTGCTCTCCCTCCCTCCCTTTCCTTCTTTTTCTTTCTTTCCTTCCTTTCCTTCTTTCTTTCTTTCTTTCTTTTCTTTCTTTCTTTTTTCTTTCTTTCTTTCTTTCTTTCTTTCTTTCTTTCTTTCTTTCTTTCTTTCTTTCTTCCTTCCTTCCTTCCTTCCTTCCTTCCTTCCTTCCTTCCTTCCTTCCTTCCTTCCTCCCTCCCTCCCTCCCTCCCTCCCTCCCCTCCTTCCTTCCCTCCCCTTCCTTCATTCAGTCCTCCATCCATTTTCTTCCTTCCTCCATTCCCGCCCTCCCTCCCTTTTCTTCCTTACCTTCATTCCTTCCTCTATCCCCGCCCTTTATTTTTTCATTCCCTCCCTCCTTGTCCTTCAATCATTCTTTCCTTCCTTCCCCTTCCTTCAATCCTTCCTTCATTTCTCCCTTCCTCCCTCTCCTTCATTCCTTCCTTCCTCCATTCCCACCTTTCATTTCCTTCCTTCCTGCCACCCTTCTTCCTTTCATTTCCTTCCTCCCTCCCTTTCCTTCATTCTTTCCTCTATCAATTTCCTTGCTTCCTCCATCCATACCCCTCTCTCGCTATTCTTCCTTCCCTTCCTTCCTTTCTCTATCCATTCCCTTTTCTACCTTCCTTCCTGCCTCCCCTCCTTCATTCCTTCCTTCATTACCTCCTCTTCCTTCATCCCTTCCTCCATCCATTCCCTCCCCCCCTTTTCTTCCTTCCTCCATCCCCACCCTTCATTCTTTCCTCTCTCCCTCCCTCCCCTCCTTTAATTTCCTTCCTTCCTCCCTTCCTTCTTTCCTTCCCTCATCTTTCTTCATTCCTTCCTTCCATTCCCTCCCTCTCTTTTCTTACTTCCCTCCCTCCCTTCTTTCCTTCCTTCCTTCATCCATCCATTCCCTCTCCTTTCCCTTTTCTTCCTTCCTTCCTTCCTTCCTTCCCCCCCTTTCTTCATTCCTTCCTCCATCCATTCCCTCCCTCCCTTTTCTTCCTTCCTCCATCCCCTCTTTCACCTTTCATTCTTTCCTTCCCTCCCTCCCTCCCTCCCCTTCCTTCCTTCCCTCCCTCCCTCTCACCCTTCCTTCCTTTCGCTCTCCCTCCCCTCCCCTTCTTTCCTTCCTTCCTTCATCCATTTCCTCCATCCTTTTTTCTTCCTTCCTTCCTCCACTCCTTCCTTCCCTCCCCTTCCTTCATTCCTGCCTCCAAACATTTCCTTCCTTCCTTCCTCTATCCCCTTCATTCTTTCCTCCCTCCCCTCCTTTCAAGTCCTTCCTTCCTCCCTCCCCTCCTTCCTTCCCTCCCTTTCCTTCATCCCTTCCTCCATCCATTCCTTCCTTCCTCCCTCCATCTATTCCCTCCCTTTTCTTCCTTCCTTCCTCCTTTCCTTCCCTCCCTCCTTTACCTTCATTACTTTGCCCATCCATTTTCTTTCCTTCCTTCATTCCTTCCTTTCTTCATCCATTCCCTACCTCCCTTTTCTTCCTTCCCTTCCTTCCTCCATCCCCTCCCTTCTTTCTTTCCTCCCTCCCCTTCCTTCCTTCCTTCCCCTTCCTTCCTCCATCCATTTCCTCCTCTTTCTTTCTTTCCTTCTTTCTTTCTTTCTTTCTTTCTTTTTCTTTCTTTTT